GTGTGTGTGTGTGTGTGTGTGTGTGTGTGTGTGTGTGTGTGTGTGTGTGTGTGTGTGTGTGTGTGTGTGAAGAGTACATGACTCGCCATGAATAATTGAAAGCGCCAGCATCGGAGATTTTTAAACATTCGCCTCCCGCTCCACCGCTCCTCCTCAGGGCGTGACATTTCGAGTGGAGAAAGACGACCTGGTCATCGCGCGGATCCTCCACGGCGGCATGATCGACAGGCAGGGTCTGCTCCACGTGGGCGACATCATCAAGGAGGTGAACGGGAAGGACGTGGGCAACAATCCCACCGAGCTGCAGGAGATGCTCAAAGACTGCAGCGGGGGGATCACGCTGAAGATCCTCCCGAGCTACCGAGAGGCCCCCGCGCCGCCACAGGTGATTTGAAAAACAAAGCAGACACTTTGGGACTTGTGAGTGGCGGATGTTTGAGTGGTGGCACCRGCCTGGTAATCTGGCCTTCCCACAATCCTCTGTGTACAGATGCGAACCATGGGAGCCCTATTAATAACACTCCACATGCTATGTAGGTCAGAATGTTTCTGTTTCACGCACGCACACATGCTACATGTAGTTACATGAAAAGCACAGTCGGCTGTCAGATTCTCATTTCCTCCTTATGCACGTTCCACAATTTATTTCTAAGTCATGAATAGTGGGAGGAAAAAAAACATCAAAACATTTAAAGGTCGAACATTCCTTGAAGGAAGGCTTATCGACCAACGTTTTACCAGGCCAAAGTTAGGAAATGATGAAACAGATGGAATTTCTGTCAAATTTTGAAAACAATGCTGTGAATGACTCAATTACTACTACATCAGTGGTTAGCTCATTATCTATGAAATCTGCTAAATCAGTGTTTCCCAAAGTTGGGGTCGGGACCCAAAGTGGGGTCCCGAAACATCAAGGTGGGGTCCTGAAAAGATTTTAGGACTTGATTACATTTTCTTAGTTGTTACAAAGGAGTGAGGTTAGTGTATTTAAAATGGGTAAATTTAGTATAAAAATACTGTTACTATGCCCATGTTTTGTTGAGCTGATACAAATGTTTGTCATCCAAACATAGTTGTGGGCACAGGTCTCTGCTACTGTTATTTTGTGGGTCAAAAGCTGAAAAGTTTGAGAACCACTGCACTTTGGTTCCCAAAGTTGGGCTTGGGACCCAATTATGGGTCATGAAGCACCTTGGATAATCTCCAGAAATCAATTTAAAGGGTAATAAAATAATTGTTGATGTAATATTTTTTCTATAACTATTACAAAAACACAAAATAAGTATAAATAAGTGCTTATATTTGTGTACAAGCTGTTTAGATTGTCAAAAAGCCTGTGTTTTTATGGTTATTAACAAAGTTTGTGTACTCAGACCAGTAATATTTGGGGTCACAAGTTTTTGCCATGGACATTTTGTGGGTCAGGAGATAAAAAGTTTGGGAACCACTGTGCTAAATTACAGCAATTTATGTGTTTTCTAACATGGCTGTGGCAGCCATCTTGTATTGTATGGACTCCCGCCAGTTAATCGGTACTAGATCTACATCCCATAGTTAGTTAGGCCCGTCACGATAACAAATTTTGCTGTACGATAAATCGTCTCAGAAATTATTGCGATGAAGGATGATATCATTTGGAGACCATTTTAAACTAATCTAATAACCTTCCCCATTGCAAAGCTTGTAGAAGTTTACGAAATTTACGTACGTAATAAAAAGTTAAGAAGACACACAGCAGCCGCTGAAGCTGTAAAATCGTTTCCCACCCCTATCCAAGCCGGCCCAATGTATTCGTTGCGTCTTCCTCTGGTTTCATACAATAACTGTGGTCACCCTTGCGCTGCTTACGAAATTTCCGTAAAGCTACAGACAAACTGGTAGCGGAGTTTGTAAAAACAACTAAACACACAGCAGCTACTGAAACTGTAACATCACTGCCAACCTCTACTCAAGCCGTCACAATTTATTCTGTCTCTTCATCTGACTTCGTAAAAAAAATCGCAGTCACCGGCACGCTGCTTACCAAATTTACAGCTACAATTATTGATTTATTGCTTATTGCGACAGGCCTACCTATAGTTATTTCCTGTTAGTCTCCCTAAAATCTGTCCAGTGAGTCATGAAATATTTTGCTAACAGACACATGTGAAAAAACATGCATATCTGCTTGGCGTTTTGGCAGCAGGCGATGAAGACTATAAGAATATTGTGCATTTTGAACAGACATAAACCCATAAAAGGTTTGAAGGCCCTAAATTGAATGAATAGGCATAAAAGTGAATGAGACATAAAGCAAAATTACATCCTGCTCTGTGGCTCAGAGCTCAGTATATATATTTCTTTACTGCCTTGTTTTATTGCTTCCTCCGGCTGCTTGTTTAATCTAATGCATCAGCCAGAGCACTTAACCTCCCTGGCAGACGCCTCTGCAATCAGGAGAGCAGCACACRGTGAGGAGTAGGGCTTCAGGATGTAATGCTGTGTCCTTCAGCTGATTTCTTAGCTGTTCCTTTTAATTAGACGATCAGAAAAACTGAAACGGGTTTGAAACATCTGGCCGTCACAGGTGTACGTGCGGCCGTACTTCGACTACGACCCGGCCAGCGACAGCCTGATCCCCTGTCGGGAGGCGGGAATGGCTTTCAAGAAAGGCGACATCCTTCAGATCGTCAACCGAGAGGATCCCAACTGGTGGCAGGTGAGCCTTCCTCCCTTTTTGTTTTAGTTTTCACAAAAGATCGCCGAGCCACCAAATGTCAAGATGTTTCGTCGCCTCTTCCAGGCTCGCCATGTGGTGGGAGGTGCCACGGGACTTATACCCAGTCAGTTTCTGGAGGAGAAGAGGAAATCTTTTGTTCCAAGAGACTTTGATGGATCAGGTTTTGGGTCGATTTGTTACGATAGCTGCAGCTCATATAAACACGAACGTTCCCGTTTCTCTGGGAAGCTGAGCTGATGTTAGCAAGATGAATAGAAATCCACATCACTCATGTTTTCAACACTCAGCTGATAGTCCACGCCTGCCCCCTACTGGACAAAAACAGCAATAACAAATCAGTGCAAGTGTTTAAATGTTCTTGTTTTTTAGGAATCCTCTGTGGCACTCTAGCTGCAAAGAAGAAGAAAAAGATGATGTATCTAACAGCCAAGAATGCAGGTAAGAAAACACACTTTTTTAATCTGCACATGTCCTTTTATTTCCATTATTGATTTTAAAATGTGTTTAAACAGAGTTTGACAGACACGAGTTACAGATATACGAGGAAGTGGCCAAAGTCCCTCCATTCCAGAGGAAGACGCTGGTTCTGATCGGTGCTCAGGGAGTGGGTCGGCGCAGCCTAAAGAACCGGCTGATAGTCCTCCACCCCACTCGCTTCGGCACCACGATACCATGTACGCCACGCTTGGATTTCTTCTTTATTTTACGTACGTTTTCTAGCAATCCAGCACTGACGACGCAGTCCGTGTTGCCTTTGTTAGATACTTCCCGGAGGCCCCGCGACGAAGAGCTGATCGGCAACTCCTACCACTTCACCTCGAGGACGGACATGGAGGCGGACGTGAAGGCCGGCCGCTTCCTGGAACACGGCGAGTACGACGGCAACCTGTACGGCACCAAGATCGACTCCATCCACGAGGTGGTCACCGCAGGACGCACCTGCATCCTAGATGTCAACCCACAGGTACGCCGGCGGAGAACTTCACCTCTTTTAAAAAGCTGGAAATTCTTTACATGGTTACAGAATCACCGTGTTTTGTCTCCTGTCGCCCTCCAGGCCTTGAAGGTACTGAAAACGGCCGAGTTCATGCCCTACGTGGTGTTCATTGCAGCGCCTGATTTTGATACGCTCAAGGCCATGCACCAAGCTGTGGTGGATGCTGGCCTTACAACTAAACAACTCACAGTAAGTAAACGATGTGCTCTAACATAGTTGTTTACACTGGCTAAGTCATCCATCTATCTATTATACATAGCATGTGTCAAACTTATGGGATAAATCTTGTGCCAGCAGGAATTGAATTTGAATTGCTCAGATTGAATCTGAATGTGCAGAATTAGAAATTGAATGCATTGGTTTGAAAATAAATCTCACTTAATTGAAACAGAATTTAATGATTTGAAACTGAATTTAAAGTTGTGAATGCTTTGAAACTGTATTTGGGTTTATTAAAAATTCAGTTTGGCTACTTTCACTTTCAGTTCCATAATTCAGATTTTTGTGTCACACATCCTGGTCCTTGAGAAAGCYAGCCAGAGTAATCAAACACAGATCCACAGATTTATTTTTCACTTTGGTGAAGTTTCTCTTCTATAACGTAAGAATTGATGCAATCCACGGTAAAAGTGACAAAAACAGTTATTTTATTGCAGTGATTATTTTTACCTGTATGTAGAAAATGTTATATTTACATCACCTCATGGATCAGTCAGCAGCAGCATCCAGTCAATATGTGATCAATCGGAGCAATTCAAATTCAATTCCTGCTGGCACAAGATTTGTCCCATACAAACTCAAGGGTTGCAGGCCAAATGTGGCCCGCCGCGGCATTTTATGTGGCCCACGAGAGCTTTAAAGAAGTCTTAAAATAAGTGTATGCTGCGTTAACGCCAGCCTTGACCATAAACTACAACTCCCATAATGCATGTCGATCATTACCCATGATGCAACAACATCCCACCACTAGGCGGAGCCGCATAGGGTTCAAAAGTATCTGTAAACAGCAAAATTCAGTTTAAAATCTCATTTCCTTGCATTTCACTAACTGCAGCCCAGTTGTACTGGGAAGCGGGAATTTCCCACTTACAAGTTATAAATATAAACTGGAAAGGAGGCTGTATTAAAACAGTTTCTATGTAGAAAATACCACGCAGAGCTCAGGTTTTGTTTGTTAGCAGTGCTCAGCCATGGAGATGAGATGAGGGACGTGACGTTTCGTGTTTAGTCAAAGTTAATTACAGCTGGCCCTTTGAGGGCCACCATACTGCTCATGTGGCCCTCGGTGAAAATGAGTTTGACACCCCTGATGCACAGTATCAGGGGTCTGCAACCTTTACAATCAAAAGAGACATTTTTGCTACTCGATGCACTAATAACATATGTCTGGAGCTGCAAAACAAGCTACAACTGTGATTATCAACTGGTGGTCTGTGGGCCTTTTCAAGGCCTTTTCAGGAACCTTTCCTGGCCACTGGATGTGACATTAAAAAAACTAAAAAATATATTGTGAATTTTATTATTTATTATTGTTATTATTTTTACCCATCAGGACAAATGAAAAGTCTATATTCATGTAAACAAGAAAATACTGTGCATAGTTTATGCCAAATAAAAATAAAAACTAGTACTACTGAACTATTAAGGCATGTTTTTTTTCTAATTCTTATTATGGTGATGTCTTCAAATTCTTTAAAGGTAATTCTGATGGATTTGAAAGAAATATCATGGAAAGTTGGATTATTTAAGTAAACAACAGGCTAGCATGAGCTAATCATTACGTTTTACTTTTTGTATTAGTAGTATTTATCACATATTTGCATACAAATAATTTCTATTGTGGGTATAAAAACCAAATAATAATAATAAAATAATTTTTGGTCACATTTTCAAAGAACCACTGCAGTGGGACCACAGAGCCACATGCGGCCCCCAGAGCCACAGGTTGCAGACCCCTGGAT